ATTATAGGAACTAGGCAATATCAACCGTCTCATTAATATACACCACTTTATTTGATACAACATTGCCCAAAATATGTGTTTTCTCTATTTGACTGTTGGACAGTAATTACATATGGTATGCATTTTCCGTAAGTTAACGCAAAAAATACGATAGTAGATCACTGGCATTTCAAAGTGGAACTTGTTGGGGGGATTGTCTAAATTGAACCTACTTTGTGAATAACAGCCATAAGAAGGTTGAAAACCACTGATTTAGATCCACGTCATGAGCAGTACATGAAATATAGCTTATTAGTTCCATGCAAAATCAGAGCGGTCGGGAATCTAAGATATTTCTTCGCGTTGATCAGAATAAATTATCTCACGAAGGAATAAGCGGACTAGTCAGATACATAAACTAGGAAGGCATTCAATGAACAGAGTCCTTGGTTCGAGCTGTCCCCAGTCGTGTGAACACGATACCGATTGGCTGACGCCGGATGGACCTACTGGGTATAATGTCAGCGCTAATGTAAACAAGCTCTGTGACGCTGGAAATCACAGTAATCAATTACAGTTGGAAACAAGTAGGCTATACTTAAGAACCTCAAAAAGTTGTATATTATTTTGAGTTCATTCCTCAAGGATCCTATCCAACCATCGTCGGCGTCCAGCTGCATGCGGTCATCTATTTAGGTGCTGAGCAAACCGTTTGGATCAACTATTTAACGCGACCCGTGTCCCAGCCCCTAATGGTGCAACGAAATTTAACCACTCTGTGGAACAAGTAAATCTGTCTGTGCGAGCCAAAAGACAGCTATGAGGTTCTCGTAGTTCATTTCCGCTTATGGCAGACTATGAAGCCAGGGACAACTGCACTAAATCAAAGGAAATGTGAACAGAAGATCAGTTTCAAGTGTCTTGGTCTGAAAAATCGGAAACGAAATCGCGATTACTCGTGTAGTGGGATATCCGTGCGCAGAACTGGTTGACTTAGGCCTGGTTCGACTTAGATAGCAAGGCACTGAACAAGATTGTTTCACCACGAACATTACACCGCTGTCTACGCCACCGGACATAGATGGGCTCTGGCTTGCGGTGAATCCGGAAACACAAGACATAACCTCTGCGAATTCTTATTTCCCTTCTTCAAACCCTTGGTCACTTTGCTTCCAACTATATGTGGTGACATCGTGGTGAGACGGAACCTGAATCAGCTCCTTTACCTTGCTTTCGCTACAATGAAACCCTCACCTCAAATGTGCTTCCGCTATGCAAACACCAGCTTCTCAGTGAAACCGCCTTCCCAAACTGCTTCCTGGTTCATGCAGTCAGCTATTGTTTCGCATCGATGCTGTGCAGTTACTAGTTAATTTCCTTCATTGCAATCTGCTTGCGTGACCTTATGCTCCGTTTAGGCTTCTACACTGTGATACGGGACAGCGAAGTCTCACATTTCGTCGTCACCACCAGGTATCCCAGTATCCTTTGTCAGTCTGGGACATACGGCCCACATACGTATGTCGGCCACATTACAAGGATGTTCAACGGACATCATCGCCAGGGCTAAGCAAACCTCCACGGTGTTATGCGCGGAATCCCACGCACCGATTGCAATCACTGGTGCAAACATGTATGACAATCCACCTGTGCGCAACTGTAATTTGGTCCCTATGGCGATACGCCGCATAAGTTAAGAGAAATGACAATAAGTGACTTATGAGGGAGTAAATTACAGTGTAACTTCATAGTTAGTCCACCATTTGTCTTCAATTAGTGGTAGATTTATGAACACCTGATGCGAACAAAATCGATTGAAATAATAGATTATGATGGACCACCTGTAGCTCCACGTGATTCGTATAACGACTCTAACAGTTGGCCACTGAAGCGTGATCAATGCGAATGGAATGATGCCGTTTGGATTTTGCACTCATGTGACTACTGAGGTAATCACGCAGTGGTCCGGTTTCCGCGAAAAAATAACCAGTTGAGTGCGATAGTTGTGATGTCTATTTTCGTGAGTCACGTGCTCATTTTCTCGCGATAGATTTCTACGTGTTTAACCTTCCTGAACCCTAACAAATTGATTGGGGTTATCCAAGGAGCCGGTACTAGACTACTAATGACTAGTGAATCACTCTTGCAGGCATGTATTTATCCGACACATTCAACCAATATTGGTATGTATGTGAGTTCCGTGTTTTATTCGTCGCATCAACTAGTCACTCATTTAATTTACCCTTCCATCAGAAATGAGTGCTGTAGCTACACTAGACAACCCAGATAACACCGGACAACAACTTATTTTTTCCTTTTGCTGCTGTTTAACCTGATCCTGAATGAACTATCAATGCTGATTTCAAATCTGAAATCCATTTTTCTATATACTCTTTTATACCTTCTGATATTTTGCATAGAAAGAGAGCTATGTACTGATCCATTTTCACATATGACATGGTTCACACAAGTAGGCATAACTGTACAAATGAACCTGATGCAATTTGCTCTATACGTGGCTGTTGACGCCAGTTCGTCAAAGAAAAATTTCAATACGTATCTTTAAATCCTGTTGAAATAATCCTTGGTGACTATGACAAAAAGTGGGCACCTCACTGTGTGCCATTCTAAAGACGAACGCCATTTGGAGTTCCCATGGACTGGTGACAAACCACTAACCGCATAACAACTGCTATTTTGCGTGGTTACTACGAAAGACGTTAACAAGAAAAATCGGCCCAAAGTCTCTTGTCCCATTATTTCCTCTCTTTTGACCCATTCTACACTCTGAAGAGCTTCTAGTTTAAAAGTTGTGGCCCATCAGATAATGAAATCATTGAGCGTGAAGATGAGGGCCAATTACATGTATAGGCTTTTAATTTATGAAATATCTGCAACTGACACTAACTTCATCCCCCCCCCCAGCAATCCAGTCAACAGAATTCGAATGACGGTGCGTAAATTGTGGCTGTCCAAGACAGCAACTGTAGTACTGGCCTTTAGGCTAGGTAAAAGATGTCTAACTTCATAGCAGAACTTTTCCTTTTTCGTAAACGTGATGGGTTTCCTGGTTTTGATTCAAAAAATTAGCCGTTTGTGTTTACCGTGACCTTCCAATTCTCTTACTGCAATTAGGGATCGTCTCGTATGATCCACCAGTGGAGATTATTATTGAATAGTACGAAGCGTTGTCTCAAATATTAGTAAGTTATATTTCTCGTGCTACCGAGAAACCGAGCCCACAAAGGGACGGATCATCTTTACATTTCAATATGCTTAGGTATGCGTGGCTGTCAATGTATTGGGTTTTTTCAGGGTTTCAATAGGGATGTTTTTGCGAATACTTTCATTTGGGACTTTGTCGCCGTATGCTACCAGTTCATGGGTATTCTCATTTGGTTTTTTTTGGTGCAGTTTGCTGGTACCATGATGGCAGCGATTTGATGGGAAGGGGAGGGAGTATAAAAAGGATGAAACAGTTCGATGCACCAGTCAAAATCAGATGAGTAATACACAAGTTTACTTCATAGACTGGAATAATACAGTTGGGACTATTTGTGAGTAGCGTTAGTGAGTTACGAAAATAAGAAAAGGACTATATTAAGGTAACTCCAGTGGATCATCAAACTCAACTCGCTTTATCAGGATAATATAGGCAGTATTCACGTTGTAGGGAGTTAAGACATAACGTTGTGCCTGGGTATTTCTAGGTCTAGTTATGGGATTGAATTGATCAAGTTTTGTTTTGGACTGTGTTCTCTCGCATAGTGGCATGTATATGGAGTTGTTCCTGTGAGTTACTCAGTTTATTTGTAAGAACGCAATGACCTAAAAATAGTTACTGACCCCATCAAATATCATGAACACAACTGGATCATGTGTGTTACTTTGGAGATGATTGGCTTCCTTCTGTTCTGCCGTCGGGCTACGCAAACTTCCCATGTTTTCTCTGCATGTGGGGCGGCCGAGCTCATGAAGAATAGTGGACACAGAAGGCGTAGCCAAGACCTAAATCTCTGGAGTTTGGCATGTTAAACATTGTGAATGATCCTATTGTCAGCCGGGAGACCGTTTTTCCTCTGTCGCATTTGAAATTTGGCGTTTGGAAACAGCTTGTGCGAACTTTTTATACTGCTGGTGAAGGTTTCAATACATACTTTCATCATTCTCTCTTTGGTAACGATTCAATGTGGTTTATGATGGCCTTCAAATTCGAGCTCCGGTGCTTGAAAATGATTTCCATTAAGGAACGAATGTCAAAGGATAAATTTATGGCACTTACGCATAACTTTTTTGAGAACAAATATCAGATAATTATGAGGAACCTGTTGACAGAATGCTGTTGGCATTTTGCGATCTTGGGCGTAATATGAACGTCAAACTGCATTTCTCGAGCACTTGATTAATTCCCCGTAAAGTTTGGGGCAGTAAGTGAAGAATAGTCTTTTCATCAAAACTTGATGAGGGTAGAGGTACCTTACTAGGGACAATGGAGCAAACACATGATAACGGACTGTTGTTGGCGCGTCAGTGGTGACTTTCGTGCGAAAATATGTAGACGCAAGAGCGATAAACGCCAATTCCTTGCCCTACTAATGCCTGATATACATCTAACTTTGCGCTTGTCTTGCCTAAACAAATTGTTTTCCTTAACCAACTTATATATTTGATACATCTGGCCACAGACCATCAGTGCGAACACCTTCGCCTTTTGCAAGAACATTTATAGTCGAGTTTCAAAATATCTAGTTTACAGAGAAAAATCAGTGTCAGCTTTTATTTCCGCATGCTCAATTTATATGAGACTAATGCTGGTTACTTTGCAGCAAAAGTTTTGTTGTATCTAACTGATCACCCATCCAAGACGAGTAGACTACTCGTATTACGCAGTTTACTCAAGCTCCTCTTTTCTTTATTAACAGGTGGTTACTTTGCACACTTTTGCTGTTCGATACCGGTTGCTCGACGTGCTCGAATTTGATGCGGTTCGAAAGTGTATGACAGTCATCCTTCAGCCTGCGATGAGAACGCATGAACCACATGACAGCGCACTGCCTGTGATCGTATTGACAAAAGGTGCTGAAACTGCACTGCTGGCTCGGGTGAGTTTTGTAGAATCCTTCAACGTTTTACGACCGAACTGCGTTGTATGATGTCTCTGGTACACCAAGACATTTTCTTCGTATTTCGGCTTCCAATGTCGGTTTTTTGAAAGGAAGGTCCTCCATCGGATGAACTACGATTTGCTATACATTTGCACAAAGGAATCAGTCATCCTAGTACTGAACTAGAAGCTGATATTGTCGTACTTGCACGTATCTTAGTGTTCCCCTTGGATTAGACTCTACTTCGTTTAAGGAGGCACACGCACGTACGTCTGTCATAGTCATAACGATTGTTCATATGCTAAGCCGCAGTTTGCCGACTGTTCTCCGCTGTCAATCAAGGCACGTACAGCGAACGGGCCCACGCAACCAGACGGGCGGAGGGCGAAACGACTATGCGACACATGTAACAACCATGGGTCAACGCATCTACATCGTCTCCGTGGCACTGATCAGAAACGGAACCACGAATCCTGACCATCTGTGCTAAAGGTCGGTGACCCAATTGAGAGTTCATAGTTAACTCTTACGACGAGCATGCAACATACGTTGATAGGATGTCAGCACACTCTAGCTTCATCCGAAATATCGAGGTCACCACTACTGCAATACGTACAAAATGGGTTACGTCTTAGTAGAAGGCAGAATAAGTCTTTCCCGCACTTCCACCTTAAACGCGTAGGTATTATTGTCTCAAAATTTTGTTTATCCACCATACTTTTTATTTTCTGTAGAAACACTGATGGTAGTAGATGTACGAATCTCCACTTAATATACGGTTTTGAAATAAGAAAAGTTTTAGCCGCTGATCCCTTTAAAATTGCGTCCTTGATAAACATCAAAAGTGCTTCCATTGAACAAACGAATCACTTTTTTCAAAACACCTACTTGCCAAAGTTAGGATTGCGGGTACCAGCTCGTTCACACAGCACGAACTTCAAAATACGACAAGGGTCTTTGGGTTATCTTGAAGTACATAACAAGTTGTGGGTCTGTGCATTACTTATTTAGAAGAAATGTCTCACAGTCAGCAGTGAATTATTCCACGAGTTGGTCACGCTGTTGCATCGCTTACAGCTACCTTCTTGAAAAATGAAGTTGTTCCTTCATATGCAGCTGTTCGGAGGGGCGTTCACGATCCACTTGTCCACTTGTGACATCGCACTTAGCAACCGACATATTGTTATGACCGCCTGTTAAATTATTTGGCATCGTGCGACTGACAAGCACACTTCTCAGACATTTGGTGTGTACCGAGCCGAAGTATAGTTTGCAATGGATGGCGAAAATCCTACGACCAACACAACGCCCTCACTCAATATTCTGTGCTTTGGTCGCAATTTTTACAATAGTTATGGGGTGGTAATATACATTAACAAATCCCCTGAACGATCGTAACGGTTATTGGCCAGCCATTTACATAGGATACAGCACATTAACGGGAGGTCCTGTTCAGCTGTCGACGTAGAGTCACCATGATGTAACCGCTACCCTTTATTTGAAATATGCTTTTAATTTGTTTGATTACGTTTGTCATGGTTTATCAATTTGAAGAATTTACATGGAATATCTCTTTCTCATTTGAACGCTTTATTCTCCTATTCCCTGAGTCATTCATTTATACCATTTATACCATTTACAAAGTAAATAAATTCGAATTCTGGTTTTTGATTTTAGTGGCCAGTTGTTATTTATCACATGTTAACTTCAGTTCGATTTTACTGGTCCACGTTTGTTTTCCTTTCATTTCTGTTCGAGCCTATTCCCCACTTTTTATTTGCAACAATTCGGAAATTTGTTTCATTGGAACGGACCAAGGTTAAGCCACTCACCCAATGCAACTGACTTTCGCTAACTGGCTGAATGATCTAAGCTACGTTGGTTTTCTGTCCACTAACGGTACACCCGCTCTCTTCCCCCGCGCTATCAACCACCATCACAGATTATACGTTTAGCGTAAACTAGACCAGTCAGTCGTACCACTGCGATCAGAAAGGTGAACTACAAACAGTGGAGTATCTACACCGATGAATCACTCAGGGAATGTACAAAGTAGATAAATTCGAATTCTGGTTTTGATTTTAGTGGCCAGTTGTTATTTATCACATGTTAACTTCAGTTCGATTTTCCTGTATAACAGGCTATTGCTTAGTGCCAAACGTTGTTCTGAGTATTTGGTTACGACCTAACCTTTGTGCAGATGATAGTATGTAGACTCACGCGTAATGCATCATTTCGCACTGTTATTTGACTGCAATAACAACCGTTTTTAGGTTCACACTAAGCAGTCTCTGGTTGTAGTTAACCGGCTGAAATATTAAGGCGGCTCCATCAATTCTAGTGGCTGAACCACTAATGAAATTGGTATTTCAACCGGTGAGCCTTTTGTAACTGTTCAAAACCCCAGTCACTTATGGGGAGCATTAGATGCTGATTGACTGAATAGTTGCGAAAATGAATTTGACCAATGACGCTTGTGTTGAATCGGCTGCATCTGGTGGGTGCGTTATCCTAGTACTACTTTCGTTAGCCGCTAACTCTCGCGTTGTGCACCGGTTCTTCCGATGAGTTTTAACTAGTACTGAATCGTGTTCTTTGCTTACCCATCGATCGCCCATCTGGGGACAAGTTGTTTATTGGCAGTGTGTGGGTCTGGATGCAACATCAGGGTGGCCAATTGCCGACATGATTCCAGAACGCGAATTGCTCGACCATCGTACTTGGTTTGCATGATACCTACAGCCCAGATGAATTAATGTCTCGGAGTTTGCCTTTTCAAGCGACATGGCACGCTCTGGTCATCACTGACATTCTTGAAAGCGATCTCTTGCGTTCCTACTTGAACTCCTCTCCATTGACATATTTGTATATTTTCGCTTTTGCCATACTTGTTCTATCACGCCTGTTCTTTTTTCTTTTCTTTTTCTCACGTCGTAGACAGTCACAGCTGCTCTGTTAGCGGCAGTCTAACGGAATTGTGACGAAGCGCCTACCTCACCCTCAATGCAACATGTGTTTTGTGCACTCATTTAACTGTACCATTGCATGCAGCCTCCGCATTACACCTTAAATAGTTCTGCACTGTATATGCGAATGACCTTGAAATCGTAGTAGGTAACATCTCAGGGTCTGTCGAAACGAAGCACTTTGATGTGACTGTCACAAGGTAGCATAACTACTGCTGTGCTGGCGTAGCCCTGCCGTTCTCCTACCAATGGAGAATCGGTAGAGAAACACTCTGGCTAGGCAGTCAAGCGGCGACTTAGTCACCGTGCGTGCGACCACACCCACTGCACTCGCTCGTACGGTGATGTCATACAAAGGTGTTTTTCACTGTTCGCTAAGGGTAACTGGTAGTTCTGAATGCCCCGAGAAAGGCGTTTAATATGGCATGAAAACTAGTTTATGTGGGATAATTCTGACTGCGATGCACTTTGCTTGCGCAGACGATTTAGTACTTACAAAACCGCGAGTCGAGTTTTGCTCGGGCTTTAAGCATCACTATCTCTGTCTCGTTCTGTGCAAACGTTTCAGTGCTCGGCGAGATAATTTCTAAACACTAGTAATGCTTTGATAGTTGAGCGTTAGAAACACGTTTTACACCGATTGCTTACAACGAACAATACACGTTTCAATTTAGACGGTGGAGACTTTAACCCTTTTTCAGTGTCTGGTGAGTGGGCCAGTCTCAGAACCGATGTTTTCAAAAGCGTCGTTACCATCTCTAAATTATCTGATAGTTCAAGCAATGCATTGCTCGATTATCACATTAAGGAGAAAAGAGCATATGCTGCACAATTTTGTGAATTTATAGCCTCCAACCTGTCTTTCTCTTTAGGTTGCATCGGATGTCAGTGATTTTCATCAGGATGCCGTGCTCAATGATCCTTTAGTTGCGGGTCTATCCAGTCCCACAAGACAGCTGCTCCGTATGCATCCGGATGAAGTGATGAAACGCGTCACAGCCTTCGCCAACAGTGGGTTACGCACTCTTGTCATGGGCGCGCGGGTACTCAGCCCTGAGCAGTGGTACGAGTACAAGAGTACTTTGGATGCTGCTAAAGGTCAACTGGAAGGCCGTGATGACGCAATTTCGAAAGCTTATGGGCAAATTGAAAGCCAATTGGTACTTATTGGCTGCACGGGCGTAGAAGACATGCTACAGGATGGGGTGGCTGAGACCATCACAGCGCTTCACGATGCCGGCCTGAAGGTGAGACATTCGATGATTGGTACTGTGGCATAGCTTTACCAGTTTGCCCATTATATTCGACACCGCTTTTCAGCTAGTTCCGTTTAATCAGCTATTGTGCAGAACTAGTGCATTCAGAGATATGGAAAAGTTGTTAATCGGGTGGATTCGATTAAAGCGAAGGTCTGTGTGCACTGACGGCTTGTCGCACTACTCTAGCACACATCACATCTGCAGTGGTGCCTTGTGGATACTCACGTCTGCTTAGCAAATCATGTCGCTCAGCGTAGGTTTTCGCGTAGATTCACCCGTTACCACTCCAACAACAGTTACATTAAGAATCTCCAAAGTGGTCACACGCGAGTTGCTCTATAACTTGCCCACAGGTGTTTTGTTTTGTTTTGGATCCTCTTGTGTAACGGGTCGCAAATCTGGTGCCGTACCAGAGAGTATCAGACAACACTTGGGACTTTTCGCAACAGCATTAGTACTACCTGAAGGCCTCTTTTACACAGACATCGTGAAATGTTACTTTTTGCAGCGATATCATCAGACCTACTTCCCTGGGGTCCATAGTGAAAGCAGTATAGCTAATAAAAATATCTTCGTTAGTCCGTCCCTGGGTTAACTTTATCACATCTCACTCAAACTTCGGTTTGGTTGACATTTGAACACTGGATTTCGATAAACAGCATTTTGTGTTGCTGTAATGACACTGGGTCATATCATTTACCGTTTCATTGTCATTCTTCCATAAGCCTTGTACCTCAGTACACATTCAGGGTGTCACCGTTCGCATAAGACTGAGTTGTGTTCACAGAAGTCAGATATTCTAGACATCGTCAGTACCACCTTTATGGGATATGGACATGTTCTAAAGGTGGTGGACGAAATCTAACCACTGTTCTACAACAGTTTCTGAAGCTTTTATTCGGAGGAATCTTCGTACTGTCCGAAGCTTAAAATTCCTTTTGTATTCCCAGTTGTTTGAGGTAAACAATATGTGTTAGGTATTTCTAAATGGCCCATTTATGCCTCAGCTATGATCGACTCCATTATCTTTGAGAGTGCCGGGAGGAGAATCACTGGGCGATAGCTAGTGGGCTTCGAACAGCTACCACCTTTGAAAATCGGAGCACTTATGCCCTTTATCCACACGCTCTGAACCTACTGTTCATTCATGCAATTCTGGAAAAATCGGGTTAAAGTCTCAGCTATCCTCACAGCCGCCAACCACAGTGCTTTCGGGAAATGTCGTCAACGATAGCAGCTTCCTCGAAACGGTCGCTGAACTACATGTGTAAATACTAACGTATGGAGAAATGGGATAGGTATGTGAGACATCCTGATAGCGCGTCGGAATACTGGGCATATTGTAGCCGTAAAACGTCGGATGCATCCTCGGCGGTTTGAACGCCTCCATCTGCTAAATATTAGTGGGGGAACACCACGCTTCATGTTTTGAAGATTGCTCGCATGTCTGTACATAACCTTACTTTTAGCGCAAAAGCTTTCCGTTAGGCTCTGCTGATGTACTGATTTGTCCAAACAGACAAATGTGGTACAGTGACTAGGCTGCAGTATATAGTTGCTCCGGTTGTCAAGACTAGGGTTTACTCTGTACACCTGCCACTTCAACATGTTCTGTTAGTATATCGTAGCGTGTGATTATTCAAAACAAGTCACTATGTTCTTGTGGATATTTCGTATAACACACCTAATCGTAAAGTATTTTACCTGACCGCTATGCCCCAGATGGCTCTTCCTCTTTGATTTCTCAATAATGAGGACTAAACCAAGCAAAGCCAGGCGGTTTATTTCCCGCTCTGAGTCGGGTGGTAGGCGAATTGACACGATTTAGCAGCGGTGTTTGCATTATGCTCTTGCAGGTAGGCGTCAAATTACTGGCTCCGGGTTACTGGAACTTCCAAATTCTGCACACCGGAGATGAGAACATGACTGCATCGTCGTCGCAGCACCCTCTCCAATACGAATGTCAGATGAGAGTTCGTATCTGAGGTGGACATTGGGGACGATCAACAACTGGCACAAGGAGTGTCGTGGCGTCTCAGTCGCAGATTGAACCAGAGCGAATCTATGCTCAGCGTTTCCGGATCGTCTACCTGTTTGCACCGAAGGTCACTGCGGTAGTATGAAAGACCCCACCGCTCCTTCTGGGGCGACCGTTTCGAAGCAGGGACATGCCATGTGTCGCGACTTTGGCGTCGGTACTTTTCGGTGCAAGCAAGTTCATTTTACGAATATGATGTTTCAGGCGTACGGTGTTTGACAAAGTCGCAGTACATCATGCTTGTTTAGGAGATCTTATGCGTTGGTATACGTGCAGGAAACTTTCTCTGACCTTAGTCGTGAGTCGGGGAAAGTGTCTTTTGGGTGACGACCGGTGAAAGGTCGTCCGCTAATCGTTTTTAGTTGGAACGGTGACCAACGCGTTTGTCAGATTCAGGGGTCCCGCCATGACTTTCTTGCTCATCTCTTTGTATGTAATCTATGGGGTGTGTTCACCCGTTTCGTCGGCTAGTTGATTGACGTTATCCGAACCGTTATCCATAAATTGTTCTATTAAGTTGCTGCTCTCGTATGTTTGTTTATGGGTCGCCGCTTTGATTTGAAGTTTGGAAGGTAGGCTGTTGCGACCGACATACCAGCTCTCCACTAGCCTTGTTGACATTTGTCTGGATTGAAGCACCACATTCACAATTCGCGGACCACATCCTTTGTAACTTGGCGATCTGTGCAGTCTCGAGACCGATCGTGCTATGACGTTTTCCAACGATAGGGTCTCGCGAAAGTAGCGCCACTACCCCTGGTTGGTGGTCGCTTCGCGCTCATCATGTTCTCCAGCATCGGGAGCACAGTGTACAACGATGGTCCTGGCTACAGATTCCTTTCGATGTCACTCCAATTCGATCTTCGCCTGTTTACGCTCGCCCTACAGGATATCCGGGAAGATGCGGATGGCACCTGGCCGATTCCGGGGGTAAGCTGTCGATAACATGGCTGCTTCTGCTGCATCGGTGGCAGTCAATACAACTCGGATAGATCTCTGTGCACGGTAATGCTTTGACTTTGGGTCACGAAAGCCCTGTGTCAATGTTGGCATGCCTAGCTACAACATCTAGAACGTCACATATGAAGCCCCAATGACTCACATTATCGAAAAACTTCCCCTTAGGAAATTTGGCATCGATTCTGGAACATTGATGCAGATACTGGTGGTACTCCATGTGATGTCCTAAGGACTTTGCGCAGCCCTGGTTGTGGCCGAGCGCCCAGCTGGTCTGCATATAAACCTTGGAGGCTGTGTAAGTACTGGTTTGCCTTCTTCATTTATTTTGGGTCCAGTGGGCGTGACTGAAAGCCTAGGTTTTCTGTTGTCTTTGGAGGTAGCGGCGTTCCAACCACCATTAGTGCCCACGTCCTTCTGAAATTTTGTAACTGATTATAGGGTGGACGTGGCCTTTGCCATACTAATTCCAATCTAACTTGCGGTTGTTGATTCGGGCGTATTTGGACCACTGTTGGTGTTGACGTCCAGAGCCACAGATGCCACATTTTCCACGCAATATCCAGCCTCCGTACGCAGTTTTGACGCGGAGCTTGATAAGGACTAAATTTTACTTTCTATCACGCTTTCTTCTAATGAAGTGATTTTGTTGTCCCACTTGTTCCGTCGTTGCCACTAGTCTTTCGTGTTTTTGTGATAGTTCATTTACAATGTTTACAAGTAGGATGACCATACATGCTGGACAGAGCCACAGGGGATCTGGTCTACCATTGTATTGTTTCGGCTGTTTAATGTGAGCTCAGAACACCTCGAATGCAACTTGTGAAGGTAATTAGTACACAGGGTTCCTGTTCATACGTTCTTGGCTTGAAAGGAAGCCACATACTACTTTTATCCCGGTGTCCGTAGACTGGGCTTCTTTTGGCTTGTCACTACAAACCATTAAACCCATTGATGCCTTCCAGGTAAATACCTAGACCAGTGTGGTGGGCTGTCCGTCCTGTGCTCGCTGAGTTGGCTAGATTTTTGAGCTCGGCACGTTCGGTGCGTCACATGGTTCGCGGGGTAGGTTTAGGCTGCTGGGTCGTTCGCTCTGTAACTGCTTTGAGGTGTAAACAAAGCAACTGAGTGCTAAAAGAATACAACATATCCAATAACTACTTCACTTAGCGGTCGACAACTTTGATTGATATCTCATCATATAGACCTTGGGGTTTGCTTTCGTTTGAGATAACAAATGTGGATGTGTGGCTTGGAATTCGAAAACTGGTACGCGTGTCTGTGCGGAAAGTGTGCGAAAATTGTCATGTGGAAGTAAATGTGATCCGCACAAGCTAGATCTGAAAGATGTAATGCACTAAATAGCGCTGGTAAAGCTAGATCGATTTAGTGTAATCACGCGTGCGTATGATACGCATTGTCCTAACGAATCCTATCCGAGTACGAACATAGAGAGCAAACGACCGCACAGATGTGTGTTTAATTCAGTGTCAGAGCGCTTGAGTTGGCCAACGACGCGGTGGTCGGCTGAGTTGAAAATGAAGAACAAACCGAGCGTTCGTATCAATGCCACCCTATAGAGCCTCAGCCTTCCCTAGGAACCTGGGTAACACCTAGTCCAGGGACTCAGTAGTCATTACAAGAGAACTCTAACGCGAGCATAGATCAGTCACGCGAACGTAGGACGTGGGTATTTGCTTATTGGCCATTCAGTCACTTACATCTGTGCATTTGCTTTCTGCTATCGGATTTGACCTATCAATCACCTGTTCGTCTTGTTGTTCGGAGTGTTTTGATGCGCGCTCACCTAAAGCTGTGAGAATGAACCGAATGTCTCGGACCCAGGTGCCTTTTCGACCTCTGGTGAAGTTCGTATACTTAGGTGCGAAATGACGTCATTCTCTTGGGGTTTATTTTCTTTCTAGCGACGCAATATGAACGCCTCAATCATGATCCCATTGATCTAACAGACCGAGGTTTACGTAACAGTAAACTGTAACGCAAAGTGAGACCGTTGATCACAATCACTTCTCATAGCGAGTAGCTCAGCTTATTTCCCCTTAGTGACGTAACCCGCGTTCAGATACACATTTTGTCCAGGTTTCAACTTTCGTTGGACCTACTTCATTCATACACTTTTAGAGCAGACACGATTGAACTGCGAACAGTAGATAACCGCCAACTGGCAACTGGTCATTTGGTACCATGCAATTTCTTAATCATGTTGCCATGACAGGACTCGTGAATAGCAATAGCACTTTCTTACATTTTAGTTTGGTTTAACCCGACTGAGTTTGCGAAGCAGCACTAATCCGGTCAGCACATGCCTTCTTTATCACGGTGCATACTCGTGTCTCACTAACAAATCAGCTAGCTCTAGTTAGTCTCTGTTAGCTGTTACCTATTTTGTCGTCTTTTATGGTCTGCTGTCTCACCTACGTTCATGTTCTTTGATAACCGCTGGTACTTTTACAGGTGTGGGTGTTGACAGGAGATAAAGAAGAAACCGCGGTGAACATCAGTTATGCAGCTGGCCACTTTAATCCGGAAATGAAAGAAATTCGCATCACAAAACAGACTAACTGCATTGATTGCAACAATGCCCTGGACAAACACATTGCTAAAATGGCTGAGGCCAGGGTTGCGGATCTAGAAGATCAGTTTGCAGCTGTCATCGACGGGCAATCGTTGGGTTTCGCGCTTGATGTAAGTGTGTACTGTAGATGCTAACTGTTATATTTTGTGATGGGCCTGACAACGGTTGCTAGCATCCGAATTAAGCATATACTAGCTGCATATCTACTTCTGCGGAAACAATCGTCCTGCGACTTTCACGTGTTTTATTTGATAGCTTTGTCCGCTGTGTCCTTGGGTACTCACTTTGTTGGCTGGTTACCCAGGGTTCACGTTACGGTCATGAAGCAACTTATGAACAGATGCTGTAACTCTGATAATCACGGGAAGCACTACTAGGTACGGTAAGTCCTAGTCGACACGACTACTGCGAAGGAGAAAGAGTGCTTCGTTCAAACTACCTTAGACGCTGTCGATGATTAGGTTAGCCGGTTTTCTGCCACCTTACAATTTTAAGTGGAAAATCGAAGAAGCAATATGCTAATCTAACAACCTTTTCACTTAGGATGCCAGTCATGTAAAGAAATTTATTTATGCCCCCAGAACGGATGAATATCCAGTTGTAGAATACATGATTTCCGCAATATAGCATAATCTTAACGTAAGCAATAAAATGGGTAATTGATTGGAAAACAGTACTGTCATAGTATAAATTGGTTGGTTAGTTCTCAGGCGAATTTGTTAGGTTCTAGCCAACATCACATCAGATGATTCATAACTAACGAACGGTAAGGACGTATGGAAGCATGCACGGACTTGTACTTTTGTTTGATTTTTGAAGTCCTCACACCTTCTACTAAGACACAATGAAGGGGGTATGTGGTAGTTTGTGCGCCTGAGTTAACAGCCGATCCCGGCGCGTATGCATGTCTGCAATGCCTCATGCTTGCTGCCTGATCGCACGTGGCTGTCTGGTTGTACACTGTGTCACTATGTCCGACGTGCAGTTCACCATGCCAAGCCGTGCTATATTACTCAGTGACTCTTCACTAGCCTGTAACTGCGTAACTGCTACTGAGTACATGCGACCGTCTCTGACTACGCGCGACTAACTGAAGTGGCCAGTCTGCGCAACTACTGTGTGTGTGATTTCTGTGCTTAACTGATTTCTACCGTCTGTACTCCTGTTGCAAATGAGTTTTTCTATACCTGATTCTGCCCACAATCTTTCGATTTTTCTCGCTTGCAGAAATTCGTTACCTGCACTAAGACAACAAGACAATAGAAAGGCAAGCAATGTACTATTGCTTGTGATCTGTTCACACGCAAACTAACACCATATATAGATCACGGGGGATAATAAAACGATCGTTTTGCATCGGTCAGAAAAAAACGGATAGACACAACACAATAGATGCTTGAGTCGGGACAAAGGTCATAAACCTCAAGTAACCTTAAGGGCTACTATTAGTTGCTTTTGTACACGAAGCTTAGGACGGCACCGATTAAGGATCACGGTCTCGGCAAACTTCAGCATCTTAGCGTTTTGGTTTCGGTAGACAACTGTAAAAGTTGAGCCAGTCAACTTAATGACCTGTACTGATTATGTTCCTAGCGATGAATGACTTCGGCAGTTTGCCTGCCGCTCCCTGTCAAGTTGCTTGTCGTGACATCAGCTTGGAAATCCGCTTCGGATATGCTTTCCAATCCGCTTACTCAGACAACGATCTGTTCTCCCAGTGCGATTACTTCCATAGCTACAGATGAATTGGTGAATGCAATGAGTTGGGGTGGATACCGGCTGAGTAGGTTTCATTGTAGGCATCTGCAGTCCCTGGATGTCCGAGTAGAAGAGAGTTTGGCAGCGTTGAATGTATGGTGAATGGCTGTCTTCACTCATCCTTCAAGTTGCGCCGTCTCGACGTTATCTTTGATGTGTACCTGCAAATAGACGAGCATTTTAAGCGCATTAAATACTCTTGTTTTTTTTCCTTCGCGTGACTGTAAAATCCAATGAATGGATATCAAGGAATGGATAT